ATGTGGGGTATTTCAAACTGTGGTTATTCCCCATTCCAAGATCTTAACTCATCTGTCACACCTCTCATCATGAGGATTGTACTGGTCCAGTATTTTAATTACTATCTTGAGTCTATTCCTTTAGCCCTATCCTTCTGGTATTCCTTCTATTCCTTCACTTAAGTAACATTCAACTGACTCCCCCCCCCCCCCCCCCCCCCCCCCGGGACAGGGTCTCTCTGTGTAGCTTTGCGCCTTTCCTGGAACTCACTTGGTAGCCCAGGCTGGCCTCGAACTCACAGAGATCTGCCTGCCTCTGCCTCCCGAGTGCTGGGATTAAAGGCGTGCGCCACCACCGCCCGGCCTCAACTGACTTTTAATATGCATATTGGTCAGGCTTTCATGCTTCTGGGGTCCAGAAGCTACATGTAAAATGCTACTGAAGTATCACAGTACTCTGTGGTTTTCAAATAAGGAATTTATTTGTGTTTTCTGAGATACACCCAGGTTGACTTGGGAGGAGCAAGCAAGTAAACAGAGCATTAAGCTGTCAAACATCCCTGAAATCACTCTAGTGTAAACCACACCTGATTCTAGAGAGTAATCAGGTGTGTTTTTGCACTTCCAGGCAGGACTCCAGAAGGAGGAGAAAACAAGCAAGGACCCGAGGGCTTCACTTATGGAGTGACAGACCAGATGATAATTCCATTCTGCTTCCTAGAGTTAGCTTCTGATCATCATACATTCAGCAGATACTTAAGCCTGTGATCCCAGGACTTGGGAGCCCGAGACAACAGGCTTGCCTTGAGTTTAAGACCAGCTTGGGTACAGAGTGAGACCTAGTCTTAAACTGAGCAAAAACAAACCATAGATTTCCTTTGAAAACTGTTTCACACATTAGAGATAAAACTGAAGCATTTTCAAGAAAGATCAGGGCAAGTTATCAGCCATGAAGTGACAAAAGGCAGAAGCCATTCTTCAAAAATTTCACTATCAGAAAAAAAAAAAGACAAAACTCAAATTATTTAACCCCTTTGGAACCCTATGATACCAATATCCGTGAAATGCCCCCCCCCAAAAAAAAGTAAAACAAGGACAAACTCCTGACCAGATGCCCAAAAGTAAACCATATGAGGACAAGAAGTTAGCCATTTTCTTGTTAAATAGGCCATGACCTGTACTATGCATTCCATCACAACAAACACAAATAGCATGATCATGTACCACTTGTCCCTAAACATGAGCCTTTGGTATCAGAAATGAAACCCTTTAGGCAGAGCTGTAAACAAGTAGTGTTGACATCTGACCTGGTCTTTTGTGTGTTTTGTAACAGTATTGATATAAAAAGGGCACAAGTCAAATAAGAGAACAGCTTGATTTAGGACTAAAGCTTCAGGGTGGATTATTGCAACCCCTGTGTGCAGCCTGGGTCCTGGAACCTTGACTAGGGTGAGGGAGGGAATGGAGAACAGACACACAGACACAGGTACAGGAAAGCTGGGGCCAGGTGGGGCTCTGCACACTGACAGAGGGCACCCACTACTGTCAGCAACCCAGAAGCTCATTGTTTATTATGTACGGCACAAGGGGAGGGGTTGGCTAGTCTTCGTAGGAGGGACCTAAGAGGCTATCAGCTCAGGCTGTGAATAGGGAGGAGAATGGGGCAGCTGCTAGATTTTGTACACACTGGTCACCTGCTAACACTAGAACCCCCAGCAAAGTTTTGCCACTCCTCTTGAGCCTGACCCATATGGGGAATGGCTTTGCCAATTTACAATAGGGATGAGGCTTAGGAATCTTTGTCATGGCTGTGTCATGTCAATGATACAGTCACTAAGAACTTTACCACTCAGAACTTCTGTTTTCTACAACCAGTGCTCTAAAATCTTAAAGGCACGTGCCACCACTGCCTGCCCTAAAATCTTTTTGAACTCTTCCCTTCCATCTCCTTTCTTTGCAGTAACACCACACCACCATGGAAACAGATCTACTCCCAGGTTCAGAGTGTTCCTAGCTGCTCAGGCATTAACTTCCATCAACACATTCCTTTCCACTGGTCTCCTAGGTCTCCATCTCTTCTTGCACCTTATTTATTTACTCTGCATTTTATCCTTGAACACGGTGCTCCTGAGTCTTTAGACAGGGTGTAGGTACCCTGGATTGAGATGTAAGTCCATGTAATCAAATGACTGTGATGTCTAAGACCTACTTATAAAATTAGCAACACATATTAAGGCACAACTACAAAAAAAAAATGACACCTGGATTCCTGTCACTCAGCTAAGAACTGAAGCAACTAACACATTGTAAGAACTGCAGCTTTTGCCTCTCCGCAACACCTATTTGATGTCTCATTTTTACTTGTACAGTCCCCATAAACAACATGTACTTCTATTTGAGACAGGGTCTTGTTGTGTAGGCAGGCTTAAAACTACAGTCAGCTTCATGCTTTACACCCTCTAAGATATTTCTTCTTCTCAGCTTTGAATTCAACCCGTCTCATATGGATCTCTAATTATTCTCAATTGTCACTGTGTTCTACTGTATGCCTTCCCTTACATTTCCTCAACTGCCTTTACAGGTAGAGGCCCACTCTTCTGAAGGTCTTTGAATTGAAGTCACTGTGCATACCCAGAGACCTAGGACTCCTGAGCTGCTTTCTGAGGTAGCTGCATGGGATTACATGGCATTGTCCGAGGTTCTCCTGCTCATCCTTGGGGGATTACAAACGCCTCTCTGTGGGATGTCATCTGCTCGGAACCTCCAGTAGCCAGGGTGTAGGCATCTTCACTAGTGGGGCTGTTAGCCACCCTAAGACAGTCCTTTTGTGGATGTATGCTTCTGTGGGAATCTGAAGCAGTGTGAGTTCAAACATCAACACTGTGGTTAAGTCTGTGGGCACAATCCCTAGTAGGCCTTTTTCAAATATCCAAAGCACAGGGCAAGTATGAGGTGCCTGTGGTTCCCTCTGCCAGGGGAAGAACTCTTCTAGTCTACTCTTGAACTGAGGGTGTGGGGATATGGGGTGTGTGTGTGTGTGTGTGTGTGTGTGTGTGTGTGTGTGTGCGCGCGCGCGCGCGCGCGCACGCGCGCTCAGAACTGGAACTGGGTAGTATGTAGAGCTGAGGCTCAACTCCAGCTTCCCATGTGGTGACAACACCCACTCTCCTTTGTTTGTCAAGATCAGCATCTTTCTTTCCCGACTCAAGTCAAGTTCTAGTTTGTACTTCATGAGGAGAGGTGTTCTCTTCAGATTCTTGCTCAGTCCTTGGAAAGTTAGCTTTTCTCTTATCTTCTTATATTCTGAGTCATACGTGGGAAGAAAGTGAGGTCCTTCCTTTCCATAATTTTATTCACAAATAACTAAAATGAAAGTGGAGAGCACAAAAGTAGTTTTGAGGCCTTGTTTATCTCAATGTGTAAACCAATTTCTTTATCCTAACACCAGTGTCTCACGTAGCCCAGGCTGGCCTTGAGCTCATAATCCCCTACTTCTACCTCCCCAAAGCTGGGATTATAGGTATGTACCACTGTGCCTAGTCATAAAGGTAATTTACAAGTTATCAGTATCCAACCAAACTGTCTGAATGATGGGATTTTTCTATACGGTCACATTTTAAAGTATACCTAATATGGCTGATGAAAATTTGATATTATTTCATATATAATACTTATATTTGACAGCACAGTAGTAAATAGTAACACTTTTCTTCCTTGAGTGGTGTTATGAACTGGTGACCAATGCTGTCTTGCCAAGTGTATCAGACAGTGACAGGATGAACAGCTGTGATGTGGCTTCCTCACTTCTTCAAACTATCTTCAGTCACACAATTGTCTTTCTGATTTTCAAACACTAGCTGCCAGGTTCTCATTGGTCAGGGGATCACCTGGACAGAGTTTTGTTGTCCCCACTCCCACCCCAAGATTTTTTTTCTCTGTGTTTTTTCTCTGTGTGGCCCTGGCTGTCCTGGAACTCACTATGTAGACTAGGCTGGCCTTGAACTCACAGAGATCTGCCTGCCTCTGCCTCCTGAATGCTGGGATTAAAGGCACGTGCCACCACTGCCTGGCTCTAAAATCTTTTTAAACTCTTACCTTCCATCTTCTTTTTTTGCACTAACACCACACCATCACTGCCCACCAGGCCAGTTTCTTCAAGAGGGTTTACACAGTATTAAAGTGTCAAAGAATTTTGAGGATATTTAACTAGAGGCATAAACACACATATTTAGAATACAACATAATCCAACAGAATTCAAGGTAAAATTTGTAATTTTGTTGTTAATTTTTAAATGGCATTTATTTGTATGTGTGTTCATGCTATGGTGCACATGTGAAAAGGTCAAAGGACAACCTGATGGGTTCTCTCTGTCCACCAGAGAACAAACTCAGGTTCTTAGGGTTGGTGGCAAATGCCTTTACCTGCTAAGTCATCACGACAGCCCTGTTTGATTCTTAGATTTTCTTTTTAACTGAAACGATTAACGGACAACTTGTACACAGGTATACATTAAAACTGGCATACACTCTGATTTCCTCACAGTATTGTAGCAAAAGCTGAGGGTCCATCCAGTTCTGGTCTCAAACTGGATGGACCCACACTTTTAAATTTTCTAAGCCTATCCCTGTATGTGAAAATTTCATGCTTTCTGGACACAAATGCAGGTGCCAATAGCAATGAGAACTACACACCTAGAACTAAACCTGGCTGGCATTTCAGAGTGCAGATTTGGGAGGGAAACATGGCTTGGCTGGTAGGGTATTTGCCTAGCATGTGCTGGGCCCTGGGTTCAAGGTCCAGCACTATATAAACAGTACTGCAAAATATAGCTGTGATGCCAGCATTTGGGAAGTAGAGACAACAGATTCAGAAGATGAAGTTCACCTCCAGCTATACGGAGTTGGAGGCTAACCTAGGCATCATAAAATCCTATCTATAAGCAAAGACCTGGTGAATTCTGCAGTAAAGAAATAATACAAGGGATGAATGCATGTTGTTGAAAATCAAAATGTAAAACTGGTTTGAACTCATGCCCAGAGATATGTTTATTGTACTTGAATGATTCAAAAACATTGAGGTGAGGCTCTTCAACTCCAGGGAGGATATTTCAAACATTTACCTATTAAGAAACTGTAAACACTCTCAAGACAAAATTTGCAAACAAAACTTTTCTCTACAAAATATATGCATATAAGTATGTATTTCTTAGGCTGTGTGTAGCCCACTCTTCTCTTGGTAATCTTCATAAAAACGCATCAGTGACTCTGGGATTCTAGGTGTCACAATGCTCAAGGCTTGAGTGAAATGCCTCTTCATAATGCGGTCAGCTTTAATGTCTTCTTCCAGGGCCAGAAGAGCAGCCTCCTTGCAGAGAGCTATGATCTGAAATTGAACAAGGAAAAGGACGGAGAAAGCAGTCAGCACTCCTTTGTTGACAAACTATTTTCAACATATTTATCTGTGGTGTGACATTTAAAAAAGTCTTTTATTTTTGAGATAATTACATCTTTCCCCCTCCCTTTCCTCTCTCTGAGACCTCCCATGTATTCCACCACCCTCTTTCAAGTTCACAGATTCTATTCTTTCTTTGTTATTAGTGTGTGTGTGTGGCTCTAAATATGTATGTACAACTTGCTCAGTCTGTATAGTCTTATTTGTACGTATGTTTTCAGGGCTGACCATTTGGAACTGGATGACCAACTGGTGTGCTCTGAGCATTATTTAGCTCCTTGTGGGCCTTCCATGTCAGCATGTCTATAGGTGTTGTCCTTGTTCAGGTCACATTCAGGCAGCCATGTTGGTGAGACTTTATACTGGGTGTAGCTTCTGACACGTGGTGTGATTCTGCATCATGAGCATATCCCTGTGGGAGTTACTCAACTTAAAGTTTGTTTTTTTTGGTCTGGTAGCTTACATAATTAAGTCTATAAAAAGAAAGCCCCATGAGATGAGCTTGTGTTTGAGGTCTGGACTGATCACCTGACCATTTCTACAAAGCACACATGCACCACCCATCATGCCCCAAAGCAGACAAGTCTAGGATTGTTTCAGCAACAGGGATTCATTTCACTTTTCCCCCTTTCCCATGAGGCCACAGGAGAACTCTACTGAGAAGATGTGTAGATAAATGGGTCAATTTGACTCACAGACAGTTGGGAATACTAGATTAACCTGCTCAGAAACAAAATCCTTGGTCACTTGAGTTTAACTTCTTTAGCAAAGATGATTTTCGAAGCCAGCCTGAATTTCTTTAGCACCCCCTCCACCCCTGCCCCGACAGTGCAGGCTACCTATTTTAAAGGAGTTATCAGCAAGCTGTCAGAACGGGGTGGTGGGGGTGTGGGGGAGAGCCTCTTTTGCCAATAGGCTATAAACATAAGTGTGTAATATTCAGTTTTGACTAAATAATCAAAACCTAAACTTTCATATGTGCCTTGCTGTGAGGCTGAAAACATGTTTGTGGGAATAAGAAAATGAGACAAAAACTATTGGATTGTGCCAAGATCTCACTGTCAGATCCAGACTAAGATATTTTTACTTCAGTGGCTATCATACACTTTATTTGGTGTCTATACATCTCAAATTTTCTTTTCATTCATTCAGCAGTTAAAATATATCTGCTGACCAGTTTCCTAACAAAAACACAAGACCAACAGGAACACCATGTAAAAGAATGAATCTGAGATGGACACCTAAAAGGAAGTGTCTGTTACTAAAAACATCTACAAATCACCAGGTTCACCCAATAGCGAGTCTTTTTAAGCGAGGAAAGTAGTGAGCAGTGTAGACAGAGGCTCAGAGAGTGAGTATGAGCTGCATTTTCTGTGTGTGCTTGGCAGTAGCATGAGGAAGCAGCATCCCAGGATAAGAAGGCTGCTGACAACTGAACGGGGAAATCGAGTTATTTCACCTCTATGCCAAAGGGCAGAAGAGGCAATTGTGTGCAATTCTGAACGCCATGAAGAACAAAGTTGGACTTGCACCGTGGAAAACAACACAAAACCTCTTACACATAGCCTATGGTTCTTCCCTCAATCCACCAGAGAAGCAGGGTTTGAACGGGTGTCTCAGCATAGCAAAATAGAAGCAGGACAGCAGCAAAAATCAGAACCAACAGGGCTTCTGAGCAGACAGCAATGCTTTTAAAAACCATGCTAAAGAATAAGCCAAGGCCATTGCTGTCCAGTAAGAAGTAGTCAATAGGAAGGAGAACTTGACCATGCTTGGCAGTTTCCTGGACTTTATCTTCTGTGTGCTAGAGGCCCCCCCCCCCCCCAGTTTGTTTCAACTTCACACTGAACTGGTGCATTTAGCATCAGAAACAGTAACTTAAGTAGTTGCTTCCATTTCCAGGCATGGCTGGGTGAATCTGCTTTCTGCTACCAGACCAGCACAGTGACAGTGACAACTGGGAAGCATGCAAACAAGTGGCTGGAAGCGCATGTGCGTGCGTGCCTGCGCGCGTGCGATGCGTGGGGGGAGAGCAGGAGCTGCTTCCTGACTATAAGCATTAAGTTTTAGCTAACTTTTCTGGTAAACTAGCTCAGAGAGCACTGCTATCCTCAAAATGACACAATCAATAGGTGAGCCACCCTGCAGACCTTAGACTGGACAGAGAATAGGTAGGTGTAGAGATAACAGAGCCAGGTTTAAATGGGCCAGAAGAGGACTAGGTGACTTTAGATGCACCCCCCCCCAGTCCCCCCCCCCCAAGACAGGGTTTCTCTGTGTAATAGCACCCTGGTTGGCCTGGAACTCACTCTGTAGACCAGGCTGGAGTGAACTCACACAGATCCACCTGCCTCTGCCTCTCCAGCGCTAGGATTAATTAAAGGTATGCGTCACCATGCCCGGCTACTTTTTTTTTTTTTTTTAAGGTTTATTTTATACTTAAGAGTGTTTTGCCTGCAAGTATGTATATGCACCAAGTGTGTGCCTCGTGCCTGAGAGATCAGAAGAAGGAGTTGAATCTCTTGGAACTGGAGTTCTGGATCTTTGTGGGTGCTGGGAACCAAACATGGCAGCAAGTGCTCTTAACCACTCAGCTACCTCTCCAGTTCCTTTAAAAAAACAAACTAACGAACTTATATTTTGGTGGTGGAATGGAGTACCTGTGTTTCACGTGCTCTACCACCAAGATATACAGCTTCAGGCCATCCAAACGATCCTCCACCCACCAGGTTCTTATGTATCCTAGCTGACTTTGAACCTGCAGGTAGCTGAGGATGATGCTGATTCTCTGGCCTCCACCTCCCCTGTGCTGGGATCACAGGCAAACCCCATCATGTCCAGCAGTGCTGGAGGTCAAACCCTGGCTTCCTTCATGCAGGGCAAGCACTGTACCAATTGAGCTACATCTCAACCACCACCCTTCTCCTTCGAAAAAGTATTTCTTGATAGCTGAATTCATACCCTGCTTAACAGTACTCTCCAGGATGCCTTAAAACATTGTAGTTCAACTTCCTGTGCACCCGAGAGATGGTGATTTCAGGGCGCAAAGGCACAGACATACTGTTGCTCCTTGCTGGAGCTGGTGAGCTACCCACTCAGGCTGCAGACTGCACTGAGACAGACCTCTTCCTTTCCTTGCAGCTGCACACTGAACCCACAATGGCACAGAAGCTGTCTGTGCTACTCCTGCTGTTTGGCAGGAAGAAATCACACCATCCAGTGAGGCCTAATCTCAGCTTCTTTGTATATCAAGTGTAGTAAATAGCTTTTTAAAAAATCCACCAAAAGAAACGGGCCTCGGTGCTTTAAAAATTCTTAGGTATTCTCAGAAAGGAGTTTTGTTAAAAGAGTCTTCTGTTTGGAACACCTGTGACCTGTTGAGCTTAATTGGGCTGCAGCTGGCGCCGATTGTGGGGCAGCACCAGCGTGGACATTGTGCTGTCCTGGCCCGCCCACCCCCTTCTTTTTTCTTTTCCCTTTCACAGCCCTGTGACCTCCTTCCCCTGTGTGTTGGAGGGATTAGGAACCTAGTGAGAGCGGTGTCTTGCTGTTTGTGAACAGCATGCTCTGGAGGTGCTTCAAGGAGGCTACCTGGGAGATTATGCTCCTGTGGATGGGAGGGAGGGCCATTGAGCTGCTGAACCGCAGCTGAAAGACAGCTTGAAAGGTGGGTCTGGGGCAGCGCAGCAGGCTGAGTAGGGACAGATGAAGTAGGACCCTAACAGAGGCAAACCGGCACCACCACCAGCAGCTCAGAGAGCTACACTGTGTTGCAGAATGGAATTAATTAATTAGGGGTCGCTCACAGCACTTATCCTTAAAATGTTTCTTCACTGAAAAACTTCTAAGTGGTGAGGCAAGAACTGAAGTTTAGAGCTTTTATTACCTAACTATGTTTGTAGGCTGAATTCCCTTGCAAAACAATCTTCACCATAGTTACTCCATCTGGGCTTAAATTCATATACTCTAGAATGCCATGCATAGCACTCCGCTCAAAATAAAACAAAAATTTCTGTAAACACACATTCACACTTGATGATAGAGATGGGGAAAACAATTGGTGGCTTAATTTTGCTAAGTTACTCTGAGGTCTTTGGGATGTGGTTAAATAATTTTGCACAAAGAAATGCCTACAATTGTTTTTTTTTTTTTCAAATTTACACATGATCTGGGCACTTGGGAAAGGCTGAGGCAGAAAGACAGTCTGAGGCCAGCCTGGGCTACAGTGGAGAGCCCCTATCTCAAGACAAAAGAAAACACAAAAGAAATTTACACACAGATCAACTATCCTGTAGAAGTTCTGGGCTGGAAAGATGTGGAATATTATTTGTTCCTATGGAATTTTAACTATTACTATCTTCAATGGAACCATCATAAGATAAAAAGGGGGTATTTTTGGTTTTGCAAAGAAAACCATCACAGAAATGAACAGGTCAGGAACCACTCCAGTGCAGTGCTAAGATGGACCAGTTGGCAGGAGGCCAATTCTCTGGTCACTCAAGGAATCTGACTGCTTACAAGGTAGCAGGCTCCAGGGAACACAGCAGTAAAACCCCAAGCTCATGGCAAGGCACAGATGTGCACAGGGCCGCTCCTCTAGTCGTCCTGCAGTGTAGGACTAGGGTTTCAGTGGCAGGTGTTTCATGGCCCACACATACCTCTGGTTTCAGAGGCTAACTAACTGCCTGTTGCTTGCACTGTCCCAACTATCACAACTGTCAAGGTTTAGTTATCTGTGCTAAATGGCTATTCCCTACTGTTCTGTGAAGTCCTTGCAGACTCAGCCCTGTTCTACTTCCCAGACACACTAGGTTAGCATGTTAGACCTCCTGCTGAAGTTCATTTTCTCTGAAGACACACATGAGCTAATTTTTGCCTTTTTAGTTGTTCCCAAGATAACTCATTACCTAGAGGAAAAAAGCACCATCATC